TTATTCAAATCAAATCGTACACGAATATAACTAGAGACACCTATCATACTAGTATACTACTTGTACACTTATACAGCTTTTTATTATATTATAATACGTATGTAACAACAGTGTATAACTATCTATTGGTTCATGTTTTCTTTTATTTACCAAGAAATAATCATATATATGTATAATATACTGATATATACTTTATAGCAAAAAAATATGAGATAAACTTTAATTCACGACCCAATATAAAATGCACACACTTAAAATGAATGCAATTTTATTGATACAAACATTTCCATTTATGTTCATTACATTAATACTAAATATGTTATAGATATTTTATTAAAGTCTACTTCAAATTTATGAAAACCGATTTTGTACAAGTGTTTCATATAATAATACAATCGTATGATGTGCACAATAAAACCTGTATTAAGATAACAGTAATAAAAAGTAAAATAATAAATTATGTTTGGGCGCGCGCATTCGCGCGTGTGTTCGTTTCTACCTGTGTGCAAATAATAACTACACAGAAACGCGCGTGGCTGTCCTTGGGTATGACATGATGTAGGTCACGCGTGGTCCGCTGGCAAATATTGTATGCTTGGTCATCCCCTACCCTATTTACCAATGATCAAACAATTCAATTTTTTAATGTAGTAATCTTATTAACCTTTGTTGGTAATAAATTTGTGTCTGTAATATAGTAAACATAGTATATACATACCAATATATTAATGTAAATTTTTCATAGAATTTTAGCTAATTCTATTGAATTATTTTTCCGAATATAAGTAATAACAATACGTTTACTGTTCTTTTGTACGAGTTTTTTTTTCTAGTATTAGTTCTAATGGTAGGCAAAAAATGTTTTAAATCGATGAAGCATAAACCCTTATAAATACATTTTAATTCTGTCTTTAAGCCATTTAAATTTGAAACTGTAATTTACGTTCTTCGTTACATTTTATGGCTTTATTTCATAAACAAGTATATAGTGTATGTTGTCGTACATATTTATAAACATACTTTAAAACCTTTAGAAACGAATCACAGTTTTTTTATTTACTCGTATTGGTTATATAGATACATACAATAATTGTAAAAATAATTGTTGATCACATCAGCTATAATTTAATTATATCGTCACGCATTTTAATATTTAATATAATATGATAAAGTATAATCTATAATAAAATATAAATCAGATAATTTAACATTTAATTCAATAGCTAATATATGTCTTAGAGCTACATATTGTTATGTAGCGCTCGATATGTACCTATGTTTTTTTTTAGTAAAATTATTATTATATTTCAAATCATTTTACTGTGGAAATAAATATTTAAAGCAATTGATAAAAATTAATTTTATTAAATATAATTGATTTAAAATTATAAACAAAAAGCTTAAGTCCAAACTATTTAATAATTTGTTCAAGATGTATTTAATTTTTATTAATAAATTAACTATACCTTAAACACTAATAAATAAACAATACTTGTTGTCAACCTTTAAATATTATTATTATTGTTGTTTTTTTTTATCTAATCAATTATTGCTAGTAGTAGTTAATTAAAATATATATATATTTTTATCTGGTTTTTGAATATTTGCCAAGTTAAGTTATTTTTCTTCAAGGTAAGAGTTCAGCAGACAACAAACTGGATATATTTGTTACATTTTATTAATACTAATTTATTTAATGCAAATACATAGATACATTTTAATATTATTTAAATTTTAAATCAAACTTTTAATAATTATATTTTGTTTAATTATGGTCATGGGTCATTATTTTTATTTTATTATGAAAAATTAATAATTAGTTTAATAATTATTCATTTTGATCCAGTGATGATTTATAAATAACGATATTTAGTAGGTATTTTATATTTTTAAATTATTCATTGATGTTTTTATAATATTATAATATTAAAATAAAATTGTTTTTCTCATTTATTACTAAGAAGAAACGATTTTTTATAGAAAAATTATACATTATATATCAAATTATACTAATTATATACTAAATCCAATTAATCAAAATCATTACTATTGTTTATCATTTGTAAATAATTTAATTAGGTACGTTTTCTTATTGAACATAACGGCATATTGGGTAGATTATTATAATAATATGATGATGGAATGAGTATTAAATAAACTCTATGATCCATTATTAGTATATTATTTATAAATCACGCTTTATGTACAAAATATATGAAATAAATAAGTATATAATATACAAGCAAATACAACTTCTATGAATTAATAAAACCGATCTATCCATTATTAAAACCTATTCAAAAATGTAATCTATTTATTTTCTGGGAGTAGTAAATATCAAATTGTGTGTGTGTATATATATATATAAATTTAATTGATGATTAAAAACATAATTGATAAGTAAATATAAAAGATGTAGAATGAGACATAGCTCAACACTGTGACACCTAAAAGACGGCTTGTTTAATGATTCTAATATCCACAACACAAGGATAACATATTATATGTATGTTTCATCCTAATGTGTTAACAATTATTTTTTCATTGTGTGACTATAAAATATATAGAACACATAAATAATAAAAAAAAATTTATTTTAATAATTTTAAAAGCTATAAAACTATATACCCATAAATTATCTTAAATTATGTCTGAAATATCTAATTTTCGTTAAATCTAGTAATTTTGTGCATAGTATTATGAATTATTATGCAACCTATATTACAATTTACAGCAATAATAATAATTAATTTCAATAAAATCGAATTATCATCATATATTCAAAATTGAAACTATGTCCATTATATTAAAACGATAAACCTGTTGCTTTGAAATAATAGGGACCCCAGTAATATGGAAATTAAAATATCTTTAATGGCATAAACATAATAATAAAGGCACAAAGCAGTGTATTACAACTTTCAAGATAACTAAATATTGTATTAGAATTTAGAACTATAGTATTATATGGATTGTGTTGGACAATAAAAGATTTATTTAAAACTATTCATATGTAAGTTAATAATAAATTTAATTTTTTATGTATAAAATATAAATAAGTAGGTTAATAGTATTTTTTTCAACGAATCCCAGGAAATCAAGATCCAGAAATGGATAGAGTGAATAATAAGAATAAAATAAGAAAGTTAGTAAGAATATAAATTACATAACACTGTAGTAGTATGAATATTTTGTGCTTAACTTTAACATTTTTTTAAAGATTTTAGTGTATATGATTATTATGTAATTTTCACTAATACTTATAAATGCATCTTTTGTCAGGATCGATAGAGTTAGAATTGATTGATTTTATGACAACCAATAAATTTTGTCATTTGTAAGCATAGAATTTAGTTTAGTATTTACGTTTACTCATAAAAAGTACACCAAATTATTATTTGATTAAAATGAATTATTTAGAGGTAAACTTAATTTTAAAGTGCATGGTTTCTACATATTTTTTATTAGTTGTACAACAATAAATAATACCACTGTTAAATAACTCATTTTATGCCAAGTATAAAAGTATTAATAACAGGTTATACTAATTTAAGTGTTTATTATTTTATCTTGAACTTATTTTTATAATATAATCAGTGTTATCAAAATTATTTATTTGAAAATGTAGGTTATGAACTTGTGAATATTCTATATTCTATATAGAAGTGAATAATTTTATTTCAATTAAAGTTTTTTTTTTATTATTATTAAATGTATGTAATGCTATTAGTTATTAATTAATTAATTTCCTATATTAAGAACACAATTATGTAGGTTAGACATAGGTATATACTTTATATTTTCAGTTTATATAATAATGGTATTATACGTCTTCTGTCTTCGTATAGATATTTATAAACACAATATTAATTATAATGTTGACAATTTGTTGTCAATTTACTGTTCATTATTAACTTTTACTGTGTAACGTGTAAGTAATTTCTTAAAACTTTAAAATATATAACTAATCTCGAGACTGAAGGGTATATTATTTATATTTGTGCATAATATGTATGGTGCTTACTATTATCAATGATTAAATAATGACTATAGATTAACGAATAAATTTAAATATACCTATATATTGAAATTTAAATATAATTATGAAAAATAACATAATCAATGACAATTTAAATTTGAGACATATCAAAATAAATAGTGGTATTTTAGTATTTATGAAAACATTTTAATTGATTATCTGATTGATTATGTCTTAAAAAATATATTACAGTTAAAAGAATGATAATTTGAATAGAAATTTGTTTTCACTAAGTAAATAATAATTATTTAATACAAAAATAGTTAGTCTTTTTAAACAAACAAGTAACGGATTATTATGTTTCATACTATAGACATAAAGTATTATAATGCATAGTGCATACTATACTGTGATGTCTTGGTGATGTTATTATAAATGATATGAAAACAACCTTGATAAACTATAATGCCTAATCATAATATATTTAAGGCCAAACTTCCAAGTAGATAGGTTAAGATTTTAATATTTATTTGACCACCATGAAATATTTTACCTATAGAATAAATAAAAATATAATTATAGTCATTTTTAATCATGTGCAATAAATAAAAAATAACACTTAAATAATAGGACTCTTATCGTTTAATATATTATATTACCTATTGAATTATCAATTGCTTTTAGTTTATATTTTAAATTCACATTATAATAATTGTTTAATTGTAAAAATACTTCTAAGTAACTGCTCAATACTAAAAATATTTTAAATACTACTTGAAGAAATGATAACTTCCCATGACATATTTAATATATACAAAACATATTAAAAGAATTACTTATTTATAAGTTTTTCATATTATACTATATTGCATAATATAAGATTTTTAAAGAAAGTTTTAATAACCTTTGAAAATATATTTATTTCCATACAGACCTTTGAATTTACATTAAAGAACAATATATAAATAAAAAAGATACAACTCATAATTATTCATATTTTTATTTTAATAACTAAACTAATGTTGATATACGATTATTTTCATAAAAGTATGCCTATTATATACATTCATAATTCGTAATAATATAAATTACTTATCAGTTTTAAGATGACACATTATTTTCAGAAGATTCAACATTTGTTTTTTTGTCCATCACTCTATGTTTAATCGAGCACTTTTTGAGATATGGTTGATGGTCGATAATTTTTTGACGCCAAGTTTCTAAAACAGTTTTTGTAATTTTAGATTCTAAATGAAACCACCCTTATACCTATCATTGGTATTACAAAGATGATTTTTTTATTTTAAGACTTTTACGAGAAGTAAAAAAATAAAGCTTCGAATATTTTAAATAGTCCTTTGGATCGTACAAAAATTGCATCTAGTCCTTACTTCAAAATTGAAAAAAGTAGCTTATCAATTTCCTATTCATTATAGTTTTTTTGGATATGAAGGAAAAATGTGAATAATGTTTCGAAGTAATATATTTTTAAATTTGATTTCTTAAATATAATTATTTATATACAAATAACGTATTACCATGAAGCTCAATCAATGATGGCGATTCGCCTCCATAATCCTTAGGCATATATTTTAATGGTACGTGTTCTAATAAAGTTTCAAAATGACGATGTACAATCATCTAAAACACAAAGCAATTATTCAAAAACCTAATTTGTCGTAAATGAATTTGTATAACTTACTCTTTTTCGAATTTTCACCTTAAGAAGAGGTTTGAACATCGCCATAACTACACTCAATATGGCTGGTGGATTTATTATGTGTATTTGAGCCACACGTTCTGGATAAGCTTTCTGTAATTATTTACGCATTAAATAGATTAAATAAATTAATTCTGAACATTATCCAACCAAAACTGTTGTAACAATAAAAAAACATATGTACGTATCATATTTTCATAAACCTTTAATATTATTTAACATTTAAAAAAAATCATGTTGTTGCAAACCAGGCATAAGCTCACATTAACTCATTATAGTATTACAGCTTACCCAGGCGTATAAGAAAAAACGGCGTAAAAACCCTAATGAATATCTGGCCAAATGACCCAACCGCACAGTTCGCATGTCGATAACGACCACAACTCTTGTATGATCTATTCCTTGGGCTAGATAAAGGTCAGCCAAACATGTCAAATGCATGGCTATACCCAATGGACTGTAATCCGATGCCGGCGTATCTGGGCGATGCATATACACTGCTAGTTTTCGGCCACCGTCCATTATCGTAGGTACCAAACCCAATAGTCTAAGCAAAAAAACTTAAAATATTAAATTCCACTTTGCCAGTTGTACTTAGACGAGTATCTAATTTTAACTCTCGTATCGTACGCATTAAAATTTTTTCCGCTACAGGTATATTAGAATATGTTCGTTTAAAGGAAAACTTAAAAATGAACTTATCGAAAACAAACTTACGTTGTTTCATATGCTTTTATCATCTCTTTATCCGTTTTTGGATCTCGGTTGTTCATTATTTCCGGCAAGATTGTTTTTAGTTGAAAATATACTGGCATGTTTTCTTTGACTCTTTCCTTGTCATTTTTATTCATAACCAGGTAATTTTCCATCCACCAATCCAATTCCACTTTAATAAAAAGTTATTTATTTAATGTACTGATTGTTTTCCTCTAGAAATTTTATTGCCTTATTTATTTTAAAAATTAACTATAAATATAATTGTTATTATTTCTTTGTGTTGGGTATAAATTACACTCGTATAAAATCTAATTTTTTGACGCATTGACTATCTTAAATCATTTATTCGTAAGTTTGTTAATAATTGTATATTACATAACATACGAGTATTTATTATTTATATAATAGGTATATTAATTATTATTAATTAAAGTATACAAATAATAATCATCTCGTGAATGTGCAATGTTTTAACTGCTTATTAAGAAATTATTTGATCTTCAAAAAATGTTGTTAATTATATACAATTTTAGATGACAGTACATTATATTAATAGTTGACTTACAGACCCGAATGGTCTATAAATGTAATTAAATCTGACATAACATATAACACTTATATAAACTTAATTACTTTTCATATCTCCTCCCACCCAACCAGGTTATTTATTATTGGAGGCATGTTAATATCTCACCTCCATCCAACGTGTTTGGCAGGTTAGGCTGGTCTCGAAACCACTGAATGAGCTCGCAGACATCCCGGCGTATCGACTCATCAGTCATGCCCAATAGACGTCTGGTTGCTGCAATGTCATCAGGGAGTGGACCCTTTGGCCGCCCGTAAACGTAATCTAATGTCCTATGTATAATACAATAATATGAATGGGCATAATTGAGAGCAAAATTTAATTTTAAATAAATTATAGTTATTATTTAGATGGACTTTCTCGTTTCATGTTCAGTTGCAGTGGGTAAAAAAATTAATTCGAATAAACGTACCTATATTGAAGTATATTATTTAATTTGAAACAATTTTTACATATATTTAATATTTTTTTTTTTAAACGTATAAAACGATTTTAGCAGTAAAAATGACGTTTTTATTACTTTTAAATGTTTATCTATATGGACATCACATATAATATTATATTATATTATATATATGTTTTATGTTATTTTTCGTATAATATATATTCAATACATTATATTAACACGCATTAGATAACAGCTTCCTTATGTACTACTACTATACACCCTCCTATATTCATGAATAAATCTACTTATCACCAAGTGCAAAACCTTTTTGGAACACGTATGTGATATATATATTATATTATGTATGATACCGACCGATTGCTAAGACCACTTTCTCTCCGGGGGACATCGGTTCGATTACGAAACACTGCACGTTTTGTCGGTCAAATAAACGCACGTTCTCTTAGACAAAATATATCTACTGCAGCACTGTTATAAATTATAATGCAACATCTTGCGATATGTTCCTATATTATTATCATAATTTTGTTTTAAATTTTATTATTATAATTATGTATAATAGATATTTGCGAAAGTGGGTATTAACGTATAACTGATGAACATATAATAACATATAATTCGATACTAATAGGTAATCATTTTGTATAATATAATTAAAATAGTTATAGAGAAGACCTTAAAGTCAACATCATATTATAATATTATACATGTATAAGCGTAACGATGCGTACATGAATTTCAAATGAAAAAAATATAAACAAAAAAAATAATAAATGTACCTCTATTATCAATTTTTAATAGGTGGCTGCCTACTTTTCAATAAATTAATTGTGATTTAAAATATTTTTAACACCATTGAGGATAGTATGTACAAAAATAATATAATATATGAACACTTATCTATTAGGTTTAAGTGTAATTTTAAAATTTTAAAATCTGAGAAATATTTCTAGCGGAATTATTTCTCGTAATATCTTAACAACGTTATCAATGTTTACTTAGATATACTATATTTATCATCCTGTTCCTCAAATGCTTAATTCGATAAAATAGAAAAAATGTAAACAAACAAATACGTGACATCACGAATACATATTTAGTTTACACACGAATAATAATACCACCATGTATCGAGTATAAAATAATCATATGTTTATAGTATTCGGCACATTAATATTGATATAAAAAAAATGTATTACGATGACAGACATATTAAATAAAAATAAATTCTCATCAGCTTATCACATATTATATTACAACAACATAAGTATGTGTGGGTTTGTTTGTTTAATTGATTCACTCACCTGGTCATCTTGATGTACTCGGCTCCTGCTATGTTCGCGAACTGAATGTATACGGATGATTTTTTTTCACATAATTTACTATATAACCTAGGCGTTTACGGTTTCAAAAAACTGGATATTACTAAACAACTACTATTTATTAAACGTGACCATCATGTGAGGGGGGTCCTATGAAATAGAGGGGATTAGTGCTGGAGATCGTTGCGGCAGTCTGATTTCTATGCGAATGTATATGCGTGTAATACGCTACATTAAAATGTCACGAATACACGCTTAAATTACCTTGAGACCGGTTCTGCGTGGTTTGCTTAGGACAAAAAGGTCAGGGACCTTATAATCAACCTACATTTTCAAAAGCTCAATAGTTCCAGAAAAAAATTGATGATAAGTACTTGTATGCATATTAATTAGATATTGCATGTTATGGTTATTGTTACTTACACCGTAAACCACAAAAAAGATTAATTTTCACAAAGACTGAGTTAGAAAATAAATACATACCTATTTCAAAAAGTGATAAGACAATTACTATTTTAATAATTATGAAAATCCTTAAACACGTAAATTCCTATATTAACTTCTTCAAATATCCTAATTACTTTTATTTGGCCAAAAAATAAAACACAAATCTTGATTAAACTTTCTCTTCTAATCCTATACATATTTCAAGATGCTTAAAATATAATTAGAACTTTAGAAGTTCATTAATTAAAATTATAACTTTTTAATATTTTTATTATTATAAACTGCAAAACAAATATAAATTTATATATTTTGTGTGAAATATATTTTAGTAAATCAATATATAAATGTATAATAAAAATACAATAAGAATGAATAGAATTTATAGTTAAAAAATTATACAATTTTTTGCGATGTTCCTTATACATTTACTTATATCTTAAGTATAAAATTTCCGAATATTTTATGTATTTAGTTTTTTTTTAAACAGTTATGCTCATTTAGTAAATTAAGTGTAGTAAACTTTTTGTTATAGAAATAATAGTTTTGTACTTACATTTGAACGAATTGTCGCCAACTTACAAAACTGAAAACTGGTTTGATTCAATGTATTAAGCGAATAAGCAACGGTTGTGTATCATTTGTTTTTGTCTTAGTAAGAATAGACACGAATTAATAAATGTAAAGCTTCGGTGTCCTCTTTACAGTTGGACACAATCGAATGAACATTGTAATCGTGTAAAATGCCCAGTGGTTCATAAAAAGTAGTACATGAGTATGTATAATGAATTTTTCCACTCTGTTTGTTCCCCCTTAAATAAAATAAAATGCATCAAACTATTTTATTTTTAACCCAAGTAAGACACAATTCAGCGACGAGTACTAATCAAATTTTAAAAACAATTGCTCAAATTTTTTTTTTTTAACAAAACTTATTAAATGTTTATATATAATAATGAAAAAAATTCATCGAATATGATATCATCTTAATGTAGGTATAATATTTTTGTATGAAATATATACTACGATATAATTCGAAACCTAAGAACGTTACATAATAAAATCGTGAATGCCATATCCAGTAATATATAGGAAAGCAGTTTATAGACAAACAAACGTGTACCTATTGACATTATTTTAACATTCATTTGGACATTTGAGAAAGATTTTGTAGCTACTTGCAGTATTTGTATTAATTTTGAAAAATAGATTATATAAAAAAACAGGCAAATATAATACATTTTAAAATAATAATATAAATATTACCTTAAATATTTGCATTTATAATCTAAATGTCCTTCTTTTTTTTTCTTTTTTATAAATTAATCTACTTGTTAATCTCGAATACAATTTTATTAAGAATTAAAAAAAAACTTTATGCTGAATATTTTACTTATTACATCACACATTGTATTATTTAATTATAAATATTTTAGACAAAAAAAAATTATATATATATGTGTACATTTTTGAACCTGTGATCTTACATTCAGTATTATTGCATAATATTTACATTAAATTAATTTTGTATTGGAGTAAGTAAAACATTATTCACAGAAATCGATCGACCTCAAGGTAGTAATTATTTAACTATACACATGTTACTAATTAATATTAAAAAGGAAATTATAGTAACCTTATAGACTAATATTTTACTATATATTTAAATAAGTTTGTCATTAAACTGTTAAAATATACTATGAAAATATTAATTAAAAGTTATATGTTGTTTCAATTATTGTTATATATCTATAGCGGAATAATTATAAAGAACTACTCATATGATTAATTCAATTCTAGGCTTAGGTAATAGTTTTACAAATATCGCGTTTGTATTAGTTTAGTTAACATAGAAAATAATTTTTGGGGACAGAAAAGAAATTTAATAAAGCGAAATAAGTGCGTTTTGATTGTAAGTTGAATACTAGTTATTTTTTATAGAAATTATTTATCAAACTCCCAAATTTTTCACAGTTTTACATGAGTTTTTGTCGTAAATATTTGTTGACATTAAATATTAACATTACTATTATTATTATTATTATTTTTTTTTTTTTGATTTAATATTATTATCCTGTTAAATTTATACAAATATAATATCTGTAAAGGAATATTGGTCTTAAGTTTAAACGGATTACAATTTAAAAACTACCAATAGGTTATATCCTTTAATATTTAACTTGTATATAGCTTTTATTATTATTATTGTTTCTAAAACGTATTTTTATGTTTTTATGTGTTAATGTTATTATATTACAATAGTTTGAAGTTCAAATTTAATATTCAAATTTTTCAAATGACAGTAATTTATAGCTGGAATTAGCTATCAAAAATATATACATTTTACTCGTGTATTTATAATTTCATAATTCACTGAACTCTGTTTGAATAAACAATATTTTAATAAATAGTAGGATTAAAACTTAAAATAATAGTTTGAGGTATGATATAATTATATTTATGTAGGATATGCAATACGATTTTTTCACTTATTTCAATTTTTGTGTTTTATTATAAAAAATTAAACATTATTATGACACTATAGATTTTTTAAAAAACAACTATTTTTTACTTACCTTTCCGGTTGTATTTTTTTTAAATCTGAAGTGACAACAAATATTTTTTTATTTTGAATATTATTTATGAAGAATTTTCTAAAAATTTAAACCTATATAGCTTATATAATTATTATAATTTTATAATTAATAAACTATAAAGCATTTAAAGTTTTGAGAAACAGGGTAATCGCAGTAGAATTAAATTTACTGAGGTACTTATCTCCCAATATTCTCTCCTCTTATCAAACTTTAAATCAACTTAATAATAATAAACTATTAGTTCAATAATCGATATATTTCATATACTTACACAAAGTTGACCCACCCACATGGTAATATCCACTTCAAACTACTACAGAATTTTGCAAGAATTTGTAAATCAACAGTTTTTGCGTAACTGTAGAGCGGTCCAATTTCGCATAGCCCATCCAACTACAAACGTTTGAAATCGATATGAAATTATAATTTTTTAATTTTCAAGAATTTTCAAATATTTTTTATTTCAATTTTTTTACTTACTTAGACAATTAAGTAATTTATAAGCAAATTATTTAAGAATTATTTTAGTAAAAACATTTTTTGAGAATTATCAAAATATTCACAGTAGGTACATAATCTAATTGTTTTGATGTATGCAGTATCAAAATATACTGGAGTAGTTGAATTTAGTCATCACTAACTAATTTATATTGACTATTAGTATTCCATATAAATAGGTACTTTAATACTTAGTTGCAGTGTCATTCATAATTATTTTGTATTTCAAATAATTTTATTATATAAAACTACGTTATCGATTGTACAATCAAATCGTGTACAAAATATACTGTTACCTGTTATTGAATTTATCACCCATGTCGCAGCATAATAATAAGTAACGTCATCACGATGTTTATCATTGTGTTAATATTGTTTTGCGTTTGCGTTCATTCAATTGATTCTCTAATAGTAAAATATATTTCATTTACTGCCATTATAAGTAACCTATGTTTATACTTGTTTAGGTATTTAGACATATTCGTAATAAAATATTTTTATCATAATTACGTATATTAATTTATATGCGTTTTTGTTATTATTAAAGCATCGTACATTGTAATTAACAACATAAACATTTTTATTGACATCGAAGATTAAAAAACCAAAAAAAAAACCAAATAACGCAGTCTCAACAATTTGTACGTAATATCATAACATAGTAATATGGTTTTGTATTTCTATACGTGTGCAACTCGTTAACGTATGAACGGCTGCTAAGTTAAATTAAAGTCAGTTTAAGTCCTCGGGATTATACTTATTACGTTATCTTGTCAACGCGAACTATCATCGCCAGCAATAGTTAGGTCGTATTAATGTATTATACAATATTGATGGTCACGGTGATATATTATTATGCGCCTTAACTGTATAGCCTGCAGCAACGTAAATGCTCGTGTGAAATGTTGTCGAAAACATCGATTGTCCCGGAGTTCATGTTACCAGCCGAAGGCTATGAAATATCCGGACGGCGTGAATCTATCGCGAGTGAAAGGTGGAATCTTTAAAGTTATCGTTCATAATTCGCAGCAGCGAAATAGAAAGCTACCGTTGCCGCCGCTTTCGACTGCCTCATATGGTTTTTTTTAAACATCCGGTAAAACTATAATTTACCCAGATGTCCGTTCCCAAAGTCGCGTTAAAGGAATGAATTCAGTGGAAAATGGTGATATACTGAGTGACTGGGGGCAAGATGAATTACTCGACTAAAACGACAAAAAATGTATGAGCGACTCTATAAAAAATATTTGTTATTCTTGCGTTATCGCTTATCAATAATAATATATTTTTATATTTAATGAGTATTAAATTATCATTTTTATCATTAACAACTGGCAATTATTATTTATAATAACATATTTTATTTGTACCACTATGTCCAATTTATCTGACAATTCATGAATTTCAAAAACCATATAATTATTTTCCATTTATCCATACGGACTTTTTCTAAATATTCACCATTTTCCTATGCCTTTAAACCTAAATATAATTCCAAATTCCATTCAAAACGACATAAGTTCAATTATTGATAAAGTTCATCAAAATCACGAAAATTCAAAACTTTTTTTGCGCCTAAAAAAGTATTATACTTGTTATTATTTTTCATGTAAAATTATTCAAGCAGATATATTTCATTTTAATTATATAATTTATTAACCGACAATCATTGTTTAAATTGCTGAAATGCTTTATCATTATTTATTGAAAATATTTTAATCGCAATGAATGATCATATAATAGGAATAGCAGTAATTTATAGTTATTTAGAGTGAGTTTAATATTATATTCTACAGAATCTCTGATGATAGTATTTGTTATAATACAGTGAAATATTAACGTTATTTCCTCGTATTGCAAAATACAATTAGTAGCCAGTAGGTACCTACTGAAAGTTATTTATATATATATATATTAAATAAAAAATACAATCTGTATTTAAATAATTTTAAAAATATAGCAGATATTTTCACTTAGTAACTTTATTTTATTTACTATTACTTTTGTTTTTTATTTAAATATTCAATAACTTTAATTTATAATTATCATATCTTAATAATATACACAACATAATATATAGTTTAAAATGAAGTATCAGTAGTAAGAAGCCATGTTCTAGAATTTAGATTGGTTATATAGATATTAACTAAACTCATAATCGAATCTCAGAAGGGTATTATTTGAAAAAAAAAACACTATTTATTCTATAGGTATACATAAAAATAACTAAATAAATTATTTATTGACTTTAGTAACTTCACCATTTGACTTAGCGTAAATAAATATCATTTATTATTTATACATGTGTTGTTTACTCGAATTGATTTGTCAGGAACTATATTGCATATAAAATATATTTCGAAAGAACTTATAGCTGTATACTTGTGTCAGTTATACACTTATACCTGCAAATGGATGAAAATAAAGTTGCTGTTTTCACGAATATAGCTTAACATTAACAACTATATTTTGTCCATTACGTTTCACTGACGTTTTTACTTTTCTCCTCACCGAATTAAGAGAAGATACTCGCTTAAATATACAGAATGTATACACGACATGAACGTAAGATACAACGTGTATCGTTTTGATAATATGACCTTCGTTCT